CTGGTGGAAGCTGGGCAGGTGGTGGCAGGGGGCAAGGGCTCCACTGGGGCGTCGGGAGGGGACTTGCGCTTCGGGCCAAGGTCGGGGGCTGTGAGGGCGCTGGGGGAGCCAGCCTTGGCTCGGCGGAACTCCTCCAGCTTCTGCCGGTAGTATCTGTACCCGTGGCTGTTGGGTTCGTACAGAAAGCTGCGGAGGACAACGACGGGGACACACTCAGTGGGGCCTAAGCGCTAGGGCCCCTGGGGTCTCCACCACCACTCACATCTGCCAGGCCTGGCATGGGGAACAGTATGACGTGTCCGCAGCCTCTCTGGTGACCTCCTTCAAGCCTCCCCACCTTCCCGCTGCCCTGACTGCAGGGAGCTTAACCATGAGTTCCAGCTGGTTTGTTTTTTGTTTTTTTCTGGGGAGGGAGTACTGGGAATTGACAAGGTCTTTCGTAGTTGCCTAGGTTGACCTTGAACTTGTGATCCTCCTGCCTCAGCTTCCCTGAGTAGCTGAGGCTACAGGCACGTGCCACCACCTGGGTCACGGTCCAAACATGACCCAGAGAGGGACCTTTGTAAAAACTAAGAGACATAAGTGAAGAAATGTACACGCTAGACATGGCGGCGAATGCCTGTAACCCCACCTACTCAGAAGGCTGAGGCAGGAGGAGCATGGGCCCAGGAGTTCAAGGCCAGCTTGGGTGATACAGTGAGACCGTGGCTCTCAAAATGAAACCAGAAAACTAATATACACACAGACTAAAGACCCCACAAAGCTTCTAAGAGGGGCAAAGAGCCATGGCTGGATCTGAAGACATCCCAGCCAGGAGAGTTCAGAGAGGTCATGGGTCTGCCCTCCTCGATGGATGCCCTTGTGTGAAGCAGCAGGAGGGCCGGGCTGCGGGGACACGGCCTGCGGGGCAGACGCCCTCTGGCTCTCCCTGGGAGGGGAGCTGCCCTCCCCACGGCTTCCTGCCATGAGGCTCCTGCCCTGGCGCCAGCCGGCCGTGGAGACCTGGGTAGACCCCCTGAGCTCCTCCTCCTGAGCGCCAGCTGCCCTGGGCTGGCCTGTCCCTGGGAGTCACAGTGTCCACAAGCCTAGGGCAGGCAGACTGACCCTGCCCCGAGCCCAGGGACAGTCCCGGGGGCACTGGAGTCTCACTGTCCAGTCTGGTTCATACCATGATGCACTGCGACCCTCTTCACCTAATGTTTGGATATTTAAAAATGCCCTGGGGGGCCAGGGATGTAGCTCAGTGGTTCCACCGCCTGCCTCACAAGTGCAAGGTCCCGAGTTTGATGCCCGGTACCAACAAGCATTTGCCTTCCTGTGTGCCACGGTTTGAGGACACTTAGTGCAGGCCGGTGCTGGCGCTGCTGGCCGAGCCAGAACACAGGCGCCTTTCTAGAGGAAGTGCTTCCTCCACCGGGATGGCTCAGGTACTGAGGGAGGGGTTGTTACAAAGCAACTGCACACCTTTCCTCAGGCTTTCTAGCTCGAGCTGCTGCAGTACAAGGCCTAGGTGAGGTGTGGCCACCCGGTCTTGGTTTCCCAGCCTCCAGGAGGCGGAGCAAACAAGCCTCTCCTCTCAAAAATATCCAATCTCAGGCGTCCTATCACACTGATGGAACACTGATCACCAGCCAGCCTTCCTGCCTCAGTGTCCTTCTGTGAGACCCCAGCGTGCCAGGCTGCCGGGGCCCGCAGGCCTGAGATCTGGGCGCCTAGAGACACATGGACAGGCATTTTCCACCTGACGTCAGACATGCAATATGCTACCGACTTCTCATCGCTGTGGGCCATGCTGCACATGACAGGGTTTCAGGCCAAGTTGCAGATGAGGCATCGGGCCGGGGTGAAGGGCACTCGTGACTCCTGGCTGTTCCACCTGCTCCCCCAAACCCCACCAGGGAGCACTGGGCCCCACGGGGACTTGGGAGCCTTGGGGAGGGCAGGAGCACCAGGGGCTGCTGGGCCGGGAGACGAGGAGCTTGGCCCAGTCCACTCAGTGAGCCTGTGTGCCCTGTGGCCCTCCCACCTCCCCTACGGGCTCCAGTCTAAGGGGTGAGCGGAGGATGCTCCTGCCACCACTGTGCCAGCTTCTGCCGCAGTTCTGCTGACGAGCTGGGCACCCACCATCACCATCCCCAAGCAGACAGGAGGCTGCACAGGAGGTGTCCCTCAGCTCCCCGGTTGGCAGCAGCTCCCTCGGCCGATCCCAGCAGGCCCTGGTGTTCCTGTGAATTTGCACCTGAGAGCAAGACCTGCCCCAGCCAGGCGCTGCCATCTGTCTGGGGCAGAGGGGAAGAACCCCCCGCAGCAAGTCCTTGCATCTCAGGCGTGCAGCACTCGGGGAGCTCACCCCTTACCTGAAGGCCTGGTTCTCGCGGTTGTTCTGGAGGGCGATGGTTTCCACCTCGGGGCCCCCATCCGCTATGAACCTGGCCAGCTTTTCTGCAAGGTTCTTGACCTCTTCATCCTCTGGGGGTGAAACTTTAAGCAGGCTGTCAGTACTGAGCTCAACTCACCACACCCAACAGCCTAATTCCTGCTAAAGGCCCACGGGCAACACGCGGGGCACATTTGAGGAACGAGGCAGAGAGAAACAGGCAAACGGCAATCAGATTACTGCACTGGGACCAAAACAGAGTCAACACAACAGCGCCCCGCGCGCCTACCTCCCACCACCCCAGGGCTGCACGCGGGTCTGGGCTGCGCAGAGAAGTGGCAGCCCCTGCCCTGGTCTTTCTGCAGGCACTGCCCACCCCGGGCCGCGTGGTGGAGGGGCCCAGCCTCCTCTCCTGGGGAGAGGGCAGTGTCAAGGGCTGCGGACTCATGCTCCGGGTTTGAACGTCGACCCCTGCTGCCCTGCAAGCACTCGGCTGGGTTCCGCACCATTAAAGCTGGCGACTGGCCAACACCCATGTCTCCCAGCTGCCTCTTCCCCGAGCCCCACCCAGCAGCAGACAGGCTGTGTGCTCAGTGCCTCCTCGCACAGCGGCCCCTCCCGGGCTGAGCCTCCCGAGCGCCCCAAGGGCCAGGCTGGGGTGCAGAATTGCCCCATGCAGAGGGTGGCATCACCCCATCCCCGGTGGCCCTGCTGCCTGGGAGGGCGCGGCCCCATTCTATCTGGGGCGCCATCCCGGAACCTCCCTCCCCCTGCCACCTACCTTTCTGCGGGGCTGCCTGTGACTTCTGTGCTTCCTTTCTTATCTCAGCCACCTTCTTTCTGTAGTAGAGGAATTCTCTGCTATTCTTATCGTGCAAAAACCTGGAGAGGAAGAGATTTGCAGCGAAGAGGAAGGTGAACCTTGGGGCAGGTTTCCCCAGCAGGCGGCTTCTCCCAGGCAGAAGCGCGCACGGCCCCGCGACCTCGGGTGCAGACCCAAGTGCTGAGCTCAGTGCCTGGCCCATGGCAGCAGGCGCTGGCCCAGTCACTGGGACAGGTTCACAGACACATCCACGTGCGGGTGGGTGACACCGTGCAGCAAGCGATACTCACGCAAACGCCGGGTTATCCTTGTGGTCCTCCACAGCTACTTTCTCTAACTCGGGGCCTCCTTCTGCCACAAAGCGGGCCAATTTCTCTATCACTTTCCGAGTCTCGGCTCCCTCTGGGGGTGAAACTTTAAGGGTGCTGTCAGTACTGGGGCTCCGCTCCCACACCCCATGGTCAATAGGCGCGCTCTGGCTCAGACCAGGACGGAGGGGCGGGGAGAAGAGGTGACAGGCTGGGGTCGCCGCATCTCGGTCGGTCCAGGCACAGAGCGTCGGTGAGGGGTGCGAGGGCCGATGGTGGCCCGAGTCCGTCCCTGGGCCGCAGGGGGAGCGTGCGGAACCACATCCGGCTTCCCCTGCTGGCCTGGGTTTGGGGATGGTGGTGGAAGGGAAACGCTTAATTCTTTTCTTTATTTGCCAGTTTTCAGAATAACGCATCGGCTCCCTTCCATCCTTCAAAGGTGCCACATTCTTTTACAATTAGCATTACGACTCTGACTTAAGACACTCGGGGTGGGTTCAATCCACTGCCATCAACGTCCTCAGAAGCTCCGTGGCCGGCGGAGCCTCTTCCGGCTGGCTCCCGGAGCTCCGGGTCATCTCACACACTTCCTGCCCACACCTAGAGCCAGCCAGCTCTCCAAGAAGTCCTGGCTTCCGTCAGTGAGAAACTGCTCCAGACCATCTGGGTGCTAGGATGCCCGCGGCAACGGGCTTAACCATTATCTCGGGGCCTTGGCGGGGAACGGAGCTATAAAGATATATTTTTATACATGGATTAGCCTCCCCGTCTGAGCCGTGCAGAACTTGTCTTTGCATTTCTTGCTGGCCCGTTTCTGAGGCTGGTCTGCTAGCCCTCTACAGACCACATTCCTTTTGTGAAGTTCACAGGAGAAAATTTCTCCTCAGCTGGTAAGGTATTTGGTAACTGAACTAGGCGCTGCACCTGTAGCAATTTTATTTTTTTTGGAGGCAGGGTCTCACTACGTAGTCCAGGTTGACTTTCAACTTGCAGTGATCCTCCTGCCTCAGCCTCCCAAGTGCTGGGAGTACAGGTGTCCACCACTACACCCAGCTTCCAGCTTTCTTATTTGTTCTGTTGCTTGGGTGGCTGGGAAGCTTATGGGGGGAGAGGGACATATATGGCCTGAGGAGGGCTCTGTGAGGGCCCAGGGTGCATCCTATGCCCGACTTTCCCCCAGTCTCACTCTCCTCCCATGAGCCCGACGAGAGCCTGGGCCCCATCAGTTTCTGGAAGCAGGCACGCTTGTGAGGCTGTGTCAAAGGTGACTGGAACAGGCCCCACAGGCCTCGCTATGCCCTATGCACCCTGCAGAGCAGCCGTCCTTACAGGGTGCTGCAGCTATCACAGCACACTGCAGGGCCCCTCGGCCCGGCCTCGCTGTCAGGACGACAGGGCTGGGACGCCCAGGCCTCCACTGGCTCGGGGCCTCATGTGGCACATGCACAGGCCAGCTGGCCAGGAGTGCTGCTCGGCTGTCTTCTGCCTTCCACCCTCCACGGTCACCAAGGCCATCCGTTCCCCAGGGAGAAAGCACAACCTCGCCAGGCCCAGATTGGCGGGGATAGGCCACCTGTGCCAGGAAGGTGGTCCCCATCTTGTGTCAGATGAGAAGGGACACAAGGACACCTGCACCAGTGCTGCCCTGAGATGGGCCACGTTGGTTTTCACTGCGCCCAGGACGAAGTTCCCCCTGCTGCCTGGGGTCCTGAGGCTGCGCCCCTGCAACCCTGTGCACCGCGCCCTCCTTTGCTCTGCTCAGCCCAAAGGATCCCAACCCGGCCAGCAGCTCAGCTCAGAGGCCTGGTGACCGTGGTGGACGGGAGGGGAAGCGGGGTGGCAGCCCCCCAACCTACCTTTGATCTCCAGCCACTGCTCGTAGTCTTCCTCCTCATCCTCATCGGGGCCCTGGAAGACGCTCGGGCGCTGTGCCACAGGCAGCTGCTTGGCGTGTGAGTAGTTCTTCACCTGGCCCAGGGGGCTGCCCAGCCCCAGGCTCCCCCGCTTGCTGAGCAGGAGGGGCCTCTTCCCAGCGCTGGCACTGGGGGCAGGTGTGCTGGGGGCGGTGCTGGGGGGCGGATCTTGGGATGGAAGGAAGGAGGCGAACTCAGGTCTGCAGCTCCCCACGTCACCCACTTTCCCGTCTGACCAGCGCTGCAAGCCACTACTATCCAGACCAGCAAAGCGAAGAGCCAGGTGACGGCTCAGCTTTTTTGGATCAGACCTGGACCCCAGCCCGGCTCAGGGGCATCCCAAAAGAGGGAGGTGCTCTCAGCCTGAGACCCCAGGGAGAAGAGGCCTCAGATAGCTCGCCCTCCCTCTCCGTGAACCCTTATCCCCTCTGGAGGACTGAACTCTCAGCTGCTCTCTAGGAAACCTGGCAAAGGTCAAAGGTCAACTGTTTCACCAGGAAAAAAAACCTGACAGGCCAACTGTGCCCCATGGACACAGGGGCCCCGGCACACCTCACTGTCCTCCCAAGCTATGGAAGGACGGTGTCCCACCCCTCGCAATGGAGCCACCACCAAGGGGAGCATGAGGGGAGCTCCAGGGGACGGGCTGGGTGCTGTCTAGAAGGATGGAGGTGGCCTCTTCTAACCCATGCCCTCCTGCCTGAGGACCCACAGGGCAGGGACAGTCACGAAGGTGGGGCAGGGCCACCCCAAGGTCACTGGGCAGCAGCATCGTGAGGCAGCCTCCCCCATCTCCACACCCACGGGTTGCGCCCTCATCTGGGCTCTGTGTCCTGGGCCTTATCTGGGCCGCAGATTCCCTGCTGCAAGAGGCAGCTGAGCTCAGTGAGAGATTCATGCACACCAACAGGAAGGCAGAGAATAATGCTGGGTGGAAAAGGAAAGCAGGGAACAGGACAATGCTGTCACTAATGCTCAAGTGACAGGACAATGACAGAGGTGGTCGGACCACACAATTTGTTAAAATTCCTGTCAGGAGACAGATGGGAGGATTTCTCCTTCCTGTTTTTCCTGGGTAAATTAATTACGTGAGATAGGGTAAGTTAAATGTAAACGACACGGTGTCGACACTAACTATTCTGGGCAGAGAGAACACTGAGACATGGTGGGTAGGGAGACGGTCTGGTACACCGATGGGGCTCAATAAATGTTACTGCCCCATGCTGTCAGGGCTCCCCAGGTACTTCCGGGCTGCCTGCCCTGTGCATGAGCCATAGCAGATGCCAAAGCCTGCTGTTCTCAGCCACAGCCTGGCACTGCTCATGGCCTGTCTGCAGGTGGCCCCTTGTGCCACCGGGAGTCTCCCCGCCCCCCGCCCAATGCCCCATGGGAAGGGTCCCCACCTGGCCCTCGACTGGAACCTGGCTTGTTGGCCCCTGCTCAGCCTGGCAGCGTGGGCCAGATCCGGGCTTGCCCCCAGTACAGGCACGGTAATGGGCAGAACCAGGGCTTTGGATAAACTCGGTGTGGGCTGGTCACATCTGTTGTGGGACCTGTCACTACCAGTGCACAGGGGTAACGGGTGGGCTCTACTCACCTGTGCTGGTCTGTGCCTTCTGCAATTTCAAAAACTGCTGCAAGAAGCTACCGTCATTGGCAAACTTGTTGGAGATACAGGAGTTGTGTACGTTTCCAATTCTAGGAGCCAGAGGAGGGCAGAGGGTGAGGCAGTGGGGGAGGGGGACGGTGACCAGCCCAACGTCCCTGTGCCCACCCTGGGTCCTTCCTTAGAGGGACTCAAACTTTGCCACCAATGGCGTCTAGAGACAACCACTCGCGGCACAAAGCCGCCTTTGGCAGCCTAGAGAGAAACACACTCTATTAACTTAGGTTATCTCTGATTGAGCATCACCCCTCCAGTTCCAAATGGCCCCCTCAGAGATCATAGATTGGCTTTTTCCATTTTGGTGCCAGGCACTGAACCCATGGCCTACCGAGCCCCACCTCCTCACCTTATGATAAACTGATACACATACTTATATTGTACAATAATAAGGCTTTTTTTTTTTTTTTTGTAGCGGGGATCGAACTCAGGACTCTATGCTTACAAGGCAGGTGCGGTGACACACTGAGCTAAATCCCTGGCCCAAGAATATATTTTTTTTAAAAAGTGTAGGGAAACCAGAATACAAAACTGACCCTAACATCAACCCTAAACTTTTTCTTTTCTGGTACAAGGGCCTTTGCCCTGAAGTTACACCTCCTGCCCCCTCCCCCATACAGGGGATTAAACTCCTTGTGCTTGCAAGGCAGGTGGTGGAACCACTGAGCCAAATACCTGGCCCAACCCCCTCCTTTTTTTGAGGCAGGCTTTTGCCAAGATGCTAAGTTCCCCAAGAAGGGGTCAAACTTGGGATCTTCTTGCCTCAGCCGCCCAGATGCCAAGATTGCAGGCGTGTACCACATCTGGTCTCTTCAGGTATAAATCTTGAATTTCACCATTTTGGCTTTCACAGTAGGGAAACAGCCTTACTTCCTAAGTTTCTTGTGCTGTGTAACTACCCATCCAATATCTCCAATTCTGCTGCCCCCTGAGGCTGTGGTCTCCCAGCCTCTAGGAGACCTTCAGAGAGGCAACCCTGCAGGCCTTTCCCAGCCCTGAGTGAGCTGGCCTACAAGTCATCACTCAACAAGCAGTGCAAAGTTGCCAAGCACTGTGGAGGTGTCAGGCCCTGTCCAAGTTCTGTCCTCGTGAGAAGCTGCAGCCTCTGGAAAAGGTAGGAGCTTAAACAGAACTCCGAAGGTTAACAAATTCCTCACTTCAGGCCCCGGAGGAAGGGTCTGCCTCTCTGATCGATCATCAACCGGAAGCCTAGATTCCTGATCTGCTCAAAACCCCTCAGTGAGGGCTGGGGATGTGGCTCCGTGATGAGCACTTGCCTAGAGTGGTCCAGGTCCCGGGTTCCAGCCTCACCACTACAACCCCCTAAAAGATGACAAAAGCCCTCTGTGCTCTCAGGACAGGCAGGTAGGAAATCCTGCCCTATGACAACCCCTCTGGCACAGGGTAGGGGTCAGGCTACCATGGTATCCACAGGCTCTCACCCCTTCCTGGTTTGACCCCGGCATCTTGGTGGCCCCATGATGGGTGTTGCGTGCTTGTGCGTGTGTGTGAGGCTTGTGCAGGGACAGTGCCTCATGCTATCTTCCACCAGCTCTGCTAGAAGCCCTACAAAGCAGAGATGGAATTTATATTACTTTATTTTTTTATTTCTGTGACGTTGGAGGTAGAATCCAAGCCTCACACATGCTAGGCAAGTGCTCACCACTCAAACCTGGGGTCTGGGTTTTCCCTGTGTGTTGCATGACCGGGGGGGCAGGAAATTAAATGTTTTTTTTTTTGTTTGGTTGGATTTTTGGTACCCAGGATGGAACTCCGGTTAAAGCTAAATCCCCAGCCCAGGAAATAACTACTGATACACAAGTTGCCAGGGTGCCCCCCAGGCTGCTACACACCTCTTATTTCTCTCCCGAAATCTGAGCTCCTTGGGGCCCCTGGTCATTCCTTGCATCCTAAAGCTGTGTCCCATTACAGGCGCATGCCAACGCTCACATGCAAGACACTCTGCTCAAGACCCTCTGAGAAATGCAGGCCCTGGGAGGTACTCACTCGCCAGGGTGTGGGGGCTGAGGGCTGGCCACCTGATTCTGCTTGGCTTTCTGTTCCATTTTGGCTTCAATTTCCCGTTTCTTCTGAGCAATGAGCTCTTCCTGGTGAAGGATGTTCATGTTCATCTTTCCAGACTTCGGGGGAGCCACCCCAAACCACCGGTTGGCCTTTCCTGGGGAAGGAGAAAAAGCAGATCACAAATCACCTTAGCCTCACAAACATCCAAGATGGGCCACTCTGCAAAGGATGTCATGCATCCAGCCCTCCAGGCAGTCGGCAGACACAAAGCACCTGCTACCTAGCTGGCCCTGTACTACGTGCGGAACAAGAGAGGTGAGGTCTCTGCCTATTCCGAACTCGCCCCCAGCTTTGGGGACAACAGACCTATAGCAAAATAAGTAAACAAATAATTGCAAATCATGGTAAGAACTCAGCTGAAAATGTAAAAAGGTGACAGTAACAGAGGAGGACCCATACAGGTACAGCAGTTGGAAAATAACCATCAGAAGAGAGTATTTAAGTTGGAACTGGAGCATAAGGAGCCAGCGTCATGAGAAACCACAGGAAGAACCTGGACAGAGGAAGAGGCAGATGCCGAGAGCTCAGGAGAGAAGCCCCCCGTTTTTGAGGTTGGGCAGGGCCCCAGTGTGGCTGCAGCAGGCTGGCCCAGGGCTAGGTGGAGGTGGGGCAGGGTGAGAGTCTGGATTTCACTTTAAACGTATGGGCAATGACAGGGGAGCATTCAGTTTAGCAGCCAGATCCAGGAGGTCTTTTTATTTTCAAGTTCATCCCAGCGACTCGGTGATCATTTGATGAAAGAGCACACAGGCAATGAGAAGACCAAGGGTGCTTAGTCTTCACACAAAAGATGACAGTGTCTTTGGACTAGGGTGGTAGCTCCTGAGATGGAGAAGACACCCCCAAATTTTGCTTTCCCAGTGGGACTGGGACAATCCAAATTCTGGAACGTGTTTTTCCAAGCCTTGTCAGAGATGACTCTCCTCCTGACATTTCACTCTTCAAAGGGACAAATACAGCCCATCCCAGGGCCTTTCCACTGCTGGGATCTACTCATCTCAAATATCTTCTGCTCTAAAAGGCCTTTCCTGCCCACCCTCTCCTCACATCAGCACAACCTTCCCTTTGTAAATACGTGCGGCAGGTGCACTGACACCCTAGTTTCTACCTGAGGACAGGAGGACCCTGTACTGGTGCCAGCTGCATCCTTGGCGCCCAGCACAGTGCCTGGTACACGGCCCTTGATGGCTGGATGAATGCATCCTATTCTGGGGACACAGAAAGAGCAAGACTTGGGAAAAATGACTTCAAAAGCCCTGACAACGTCCGTACTGGGAGCCCCTAAATGGTTCAAAAAGGCAGCTTTTCCAGAAAGCGGCACACGGGCCGGAGAGCTGCTGCCACAAAGAGGGGCGCAGGATAGCCCAAGGTTGCCGCCCTTTCTGGCATCGAACCTCGGAGCAGCCCTGAAGGAAGTTCTTGGCACGGGGCTCGCCTGCGTGGCGGCCTCGACGAAAATCCCGGGCTCCCTCAGCACACCAGGCAGGAGCGACTAATAAGCTGGGTCTGGGGTCTCAGAAGAGGTAGGTGCAGAAGTCGCCACTATGCTGCCCAGGAGCCGAGGCGAGGGGTCCGCGGATCTGGGTAGGACCCACAGGAGAGAGAAGCCGCGTCACACAGCCGGGTGGACCCAGGCAAGCGCCTGAGGGGAGGCGGGGGTTGTTACCTGCAACATCCCGGTTGTCCATCTTGAGACTCATCCAATCCCACAATGCTTAGGCGCCACTCGGGTTAACATGTTATAGTACGCATGGCCTCATGGGAGACGTAGTCCATATCGGTCCCCCTCTTCCTGTTGCTGCGGAATACCTGCGGTCTGCACACCAAAAAAGCACGCCTCAGCTATAGGGAATATACAGTCTCAGTCTGGATAATCCGGAGGGGGGGGTTACTCTTTCTCCCACGTGTTTTTACACGCGGCCAAAACTAAACATAAACTATATATCCCAGGATACCTTTTTGAGGAAAATCTCGCGAGGGCCGCGAGAGGCGCCCGGCCACGCCCCATGCGCCTGCTTCCGCCTCCCTGTGGAGGCGGCTTGTTGTTGTGAAGGCCAAAATGGCGGCTCAAGCGGCGGCAGCGGCCCAGGCTGCTGCGGCCCAGGCAGCACAGGCCGAGGCGGCCGAGTCTTGGTACCTGGCTCTTTTGGGATTCGCCGAGCACTTCCGCACTTCCAGTCCTCCCAAGATCCGCCTGTGTGTACATTGCCTGCAGGCCGTGTTCCCCTTCAAGCCGCCGCAGCGCATCGAGGCCCGCACGCACCTGCAGCTCGGCTCGGTGCTCTACCACCACACCAAGAACAGTGAGCAGGCGCGCAGCCACCTGGAGAAGGCGGTGAGTGCGGCCTGGTCCCGGCGGGCGGTACTTGC